ACTGTTTTTAATACCGTTGAGAAATATATGGTTTTTCATACGTGGAAAATATACGGCTTGAAGCCTGGAAAGCCTGAATGCAAGTGTAACAACAGGCCGGGTTCAAATTTCTTAGGAATTAGAAGAGTTTTTGAAAATAGAATTAGACCCTTCCTTCGAGTACAGCATAGGAGGAAGACGCAATTTTCTACCATGAAAATTTGTATGCATTTTTTCCATGAAATATAATTGAGTTTTTAAGGGCATGGAAAATCAGTGAGAAAAATGCACGCTATATATGCAGCCACTTTTTTGCAGAGTGTGGTTTTTGCATGCTGCCGGAAAGGAGTTCATTCAGCAGCCGGCATCCTGAGGTAACCGAACTACTACAGAATAATTCCGCATGATGATTAATTTTACAACACTACTAAATTAATCTTTTCGAAACGAAAACGCATCTCGGAGTTTCGGTTGACATTTCATGAGTTAGCCCACCTACTGTAAGTCCGTTCTGGCGTGGTCGTTTCGCTTGGCTTTTCTAGACTTGGCATCAGCGTGGGAGCGCGTTATCGATTGACTAGACCCGCTAAAGTATCATGCCCAGTTGCAAACCAACGCGGCGCTAACTGAGATTCTTGCCGTTGCCCCCATCCCCCCCCCGCCTTCCTTCTTGCTGTGCAAAGTCTTGGCCAGTGTACGTTGCGGACCGCAGGTATGATGGTACGCGTAAGCGCGGGCTCAGTCTTGCCAATCATCTGCCCCCTCCAGACCTCGGCTTTCTTGATTCTGTCCTGACAGCGGGTCAGGCTGGGGGGGGGGGAGGGGGGGGGGCGGAGAGGGTGCAGTGCATGCTGAGTAATTCTACTACCACTGTAAACTAACTCACGCGAAAGTCACCCTTTCTGCTCTCACCCTGCTGTGGAAGGCGCAGTGGATAATGTCAGTCACGACGGTGGACGTGTTGTCAGATTTGGGGTTAAAATTAGGACGGGGGAAGAGGTGCCCTCTAGAATTTAACGCGTGGCCGCCTGTGTTACGGGGGCGATTCACATTGCCATTAAACGGCAACGCCGACGCCGCCGCGCCGCCGCCACCACCACCACCACCCTTTCCGTGCGCTCAGTTCCCGAAGCACTGGCAGCTCGTCCTTGCGTGCCTCGTAAAACCTAGTCCCAAACTCCATGCCAAGGTATTTAGAAAGGAATCTCAGGCCTTTCATCGTAGACAGTTATCGTACAGGGCCCAGTAGGACAGTGGGGTTGACAATCGAGTTATCGCTTCACATGGCAACCAGGAATGATAGCCCATGATAGTTATTGTCAATTACCAGCCTAAACGATGGACCCGGCCGCAATCTATATGAATATCTCCTCCCTCGTCGTTTATCTGTACAAGTTAAACCAGCGTGGGGGCTGTCATATTCTTCAAGATTGCTGATGATCGCCTACCGTAAACAGAAGTCAGAAATCAGCATCACCTAATGAACTAACATATAACTGGTCGACATCTGACGCCTGCACGCAACTACACCTGTTGCCAGAGCCAGCGTTCATGTTCTCTTATTTCTATATGATTCCGCACCCTTAACCGCTAACACAAAGAGCCAACATCGACATCTGAAAAGTAAGTGTCCAGACTCAGTTTCGGTAAAATTTGTCTTGCTCCTATGGGCAAATCTGAGAACCTGAGTAAAGTCACAAAAACACCAAGACTGACGACGAAATCACAAGTCGGATCGCCAAAATCGGCCAGAATTTCAGTCGGCCACAGCCCTCATATTCGAACCGCCACGACCTCCACCTGAACACAAAACCGACAATGTACAGGGCCGTCATCCTGACAACGGCCTTGAGGGGTTGGGGACATGGAAAGTCTACAAAAATCAAGTTATTAAGCACAATCATTTTTAACCCAGTGACCCCCCGGAAACTGCTGAAAATGAAGCTGCAGGAAAGCATACCCAACAACGAAGTCCTGAGATGAATCGGCATTCCCAATATCTACGTCATGACGTAGGCATGAGTGGTGAGCGCGTACGTAAGCGGCAAACGCAAGTACTGATACCAAGACATCCCAAAGGTCACACATGAGTCGCGCAGCAGTAAGAAATTGAAAAACAAACTACAGAACATGTCGCACAAAA